AAACCTCCCCCACTGCAACTTGAGACCATTACTCCTTGTTCTGTCATCTGCCACCACGAAGAACAGTCTAGAGCCATCCTCTTTGGCACCCCCTTTCAGGTAGTTGAAAGCAGCTATCAAATCCCCCCTCATTTTTCCTCTCCTGCAGACTAAACAATCCCAGTTCCCTCAGCCTCTCCTCATAAGTCATGTGCTCCAGCCTCCTAATCGTTTTTGTTGCCCTCCGCTGGCCTCTTTCCAATTTTTCCACATCCTTCTTGTAGTGTAGTAGAAGCCACTTAAAAAAAAATTGCCAATCATTTCACTAGATGTCTCCTGGTGTATGTAGGAGGAAAACTATGGTAGCGGCTGGCAAATGTTGCTTCTTTAATGACAACCACTATATAATCTGGTCAGACTTGCTAGCTGCATTAGAGAAATAACGGTCTGGCAGCGTTCCATTTGAAACCTTTTCTCCTTAGGAGTAACTCAGTGTAATCAATGCAAATTCTCTTGGGTTGAAATTTGTCATATAAGCATTCTGCAAAGGAGGGGACACACATACGTGTAAGTAGGTTTCTTGTGAATTAGAAGTGTCACCTATAATACACGTAAAGATAATTCTGTACAACGGTTGGTCTTCTGTGTGACAGCTGAGTTTAATTTTTTTTTAAATCCTAAAATCCTGCAGGGGACTTGTGTAGACCAAGCAGTTCATTCCAAATAAAAGCCCACCTTACCCCCAGAACGTAACTGAAGTTAGAAAAAGGGGATTAATGAACCCGCACCACTATTGATCCTAAACATTTTGCACGCATGGAGACAGCACACACTGTGTGACAGCCCTAGCACCACAAGCTATCACAACCCTGAGGGCTCTGCTAGGAGTGATGTTTCCACCCTTGAGCTGCTGGTCCACTAATAAAACTGCAGATAAACAAACCTTCCTCCCATTCAGTGGTGTCAATTCAACCAGTATAGCCCCCCTCCCCGCACCCTTCCTTTTCCAGGTGAAGGTTACAAGCAGGGACAGCTGTGCCACTCTCCCAGACAGTGCAGGGCATATTCCAGTAGGGGGCACCATAGCAGCAGCAAGACCAGTGAATAGCGCTGCACCTACAGCAGGGCAAAGAGGGGCACTTTTAAATGGGCTTGGTCCATAACAAGCAAATAGGCTGCTCGGGAGGGTGGAAGCACGCGCTGTGAAATGTTAACCTTGAGCCAAAGCTGCCATGTCAATGATTAACAGTTCAACTGCATAAGAATATCACTGAGAAAATAATTGAGAAATTATCCCGGCAGTGAGCCAGTTTTTCCCATAATTCGTTTCGATGTGTATTTTTTTTTTTTGGTCCCTTAAAGGTGCTGCTTAGCTTGCTTTGTCGTTGTGGCTAAAACATGTCCACCTCCATCTCACACCGTTCTTAAATGGGCACATACCCATAATGTGGCACTGGTTTTGTTTTTCCCATGGGCACCTTCGAAATGTAATGGGGATAACTAGAGCAATGAGTGGACAAATAAACAAACAAACACACACTCCTTTAATGGCACGGGCAAGTGAAAGGATTTTCCACCTTTTTTGTAATCCTACTGCTGTTCTGTTGTGCTGTGCAACATTTTGCTACATAGACTATTTTATAGAAGAAAGCTAGACAAAATATTTATTATTAATATTAAAGCAATAGTGCATTGAAGAAATGAAGAGACATTAGAAATTGTGTAAATGCTTAGATTCACTTTTGGTGGATTTTTTGTACTTTATTTATAACTAATAAAATGAATTGCATTGCTAACTACAGCCCCGGTCTATGTGCAAATTATTTATTTCTGGTAAGCGCACACACACACACACACACACACACCCTCCCTTTTGTTTCCTATAATATTTCAGGCCCTGTTAATGTATTTCCACTGATGTGATCTCTGCATACGGGACCTGATCCAAAGCCCATTGACTCGGGGCCCAACTTTGCATAACCATTGATGTCTGTAAAGCATGGTCACCTCTTTTAGGATGGAAGGCACTATGGGCCAGACTCCGCAAAGGTATTTAGGTTTCCTATTGATTTCAATAGGCATTAGGTGCCTAAATACCTTTGAGGATCTGGGCCTATAGCCTGTAAGATTATCATCAACATAAAATCTGCAGTTTAGTAATCTGAAAGTCTGTGTTAAGATTGAAATTGGGGCAAATTATTCTCCCCTTGCCACATATTAGGCTTGTGCCATTCATCACATGGCTGGGGTGCCATCTTGCCACCCTTACTCCCATGAGTCAAGGAAAATACTCATGGGGGTAAGGGCTCCTTTGTAAACTTGCCTGGTATGTGGTGAGACTAGAGGTTCCTGGGCAAACTTAGTAGCAATATTTTTATTTTGATTAAATTTTAAAATTGAGGCGAAAATGCGTCAGGATTAAAATTCAGCCACAAATGGTTGGGGCCCTGGCACACATTAGCACCCTTGTTGACACAGACAGGCCAGAGATTGTGTAGACATGGACTGTGGACGCTCTCAGGTAAGAGTGGGAAAATGCTGCTAGGCTGGTTCGAGGGAAGCCTAGTGTCCCTCCCCATGCTGCCGGGGCCTAGCACTCCCACTGTGGAAGTTGCACATGCCCGGGGGAAGGGTGCTGGAGGCAAGAGTGGGACCTAGAAGGGCTGGAGCAGTTGGAGTCTGGGACCCAGAGGGGCTGGAACAGGCCTGGGACCGGGTAGGAACCCCTGGGACCCTCAGTCCCAGCCTGGAGCCAGCTGCTCCCTCCCTCCCATCCAGTCTTGGTATCTTCCCCCAGTGCACCTACTGTCCCTCCACCTCCCCATAAACAGGGAGCTTCCACCACTCCCCGCCATAGTGTACCAGTTGTGTGGAGGAAAGGCCTAATCTACGGCCCAATGACGTACCTGGGACTCGGCCCCACCAGGTGGACACATTCCTGATGCCGTCTGTCGAGATGGTAATTTCTGTAAGTAGAAAATTTGACTTCCCATTTGTCTAAAAGCTTAAACGAACAGTATTCGCACCAAGAGCACAGTATCGGCTTAGTGACATCACCAGAGTGAAGAACTGTAATTGAGTACTGCATCCAGTTTTGGTCCCTCCACTACAGAAGCGATGTGGACAAATTGGAGAGAGTTCAGTGGAGGGCAACGAAAATTATTAGGAGGCTGGGGCACATGATTTACGAGGAGAGGCTGAGGGAACTGGGCTTATTTAATCTGCAGAAGAGAAGAGTGAGGGGGAATTTGATAACGGTCTTCAATGACCTGAAGGGGAGGTTCCAAAGAGGGTGGAGCTCAGCTGTTCTCAGTGGTGGCAGATGATAGAACAAGGAGCAATGGTCTCAAGTTGCAGTGAGGGAGGTCTAGGTTGGATATTAGGAAAAACTATTTCACTAGGAG